ATTGATCACATATTTGCGTACAAATTTATTTCTGTTGTGGGTAACAACAACAACAACAACAATTATTTATTCTGTTATGTTTGGTCATATTTTCAAAGAGCCACTACAGAGGGACCAAAGAGCCACATGTGGCCCCAGAGCTGCAGGTTGTAGACCCCTGGATTAGTCAGAGGTATCTGAGACAGGTAAGATAGTTATTATTCAGCTTTAATATAGGACCCCACTTCAAAATATCTGAACTACACCTTCAAGAGATGCTCTTATCGAAAAGCCAAGCAGGAGACTCAGAAACAACTCTTATCACAAGTGAACAAATTGGGATTGAGGATGTTTAATTATTGATTTGTGTTAATTTCTGTGTCTGCGGTGAGGAGGAAGGATTATTTAATACGATTCGGCATGTCTGTGGTTGTGTGTTTATCTGGRGGATTTATGGACACTGTGTGCACGTGAATGCAATTTAGTGATTAAAAGAGCAGCATTACTCCCCGTACTTTAGTTTAATTTAATTTTAGTGTTGTGCCGAAATACACACAAACACATTACGCTATTAGGAAACAGCATCCCAGAGCGAAGACAACAATTACCAGACAAAAAACAATGAACCCTTTTACAAAAAAAAAAAACAAAACGTGATGAGAGGAGGAATAAATCTGGAAACAACATGAAGCAGAGATAATGCTGACGGTAATTGTGGCTGAAATTAGCAGCCTGCTTGTCAACACGTCGCTCACCTTCGCTCTGCTTGTAAAAGACGGAGTCGCTGCCGCAGATGCTGCCATCGTTGTCGTTGCTTTCTTCCTGAACGCTGCTTTCTGAAACAAAGAAAGCCAAGCCTTCAGTTTGCAGCATTTGCAAAGAAACCAGGATCATGCTGCACATTYACTGTGGAGGAAAAGTGGATGCAAACTGTTTTWTTTTTYCCTGAAAAGTTAAAAGTAGGTTACGGCGACTGCACATCAGCTGAAGCGTATTCCCAGTCGGACTTTCTCATCTTGTCACTTTTACTGTTTTTCCTTTCATCTGTCTGCCGTTCCCCGCTGCAAATGTAAAAAAAAACACGACGGCTAAGAGAGAAATGACAATTCATCTGATAATTTATTTCTTTTTTTCCTGTCATTTTAACAAATCACATGACATCAGAATGTTGTCACAACAAGTAGCCATCTTTGTGTGTTTGTTTTATTAGTGAAACCAGGCCAAGCATCTTGTGAGTTGTTGCTATTTTTGTGTAAGAAATCTGAAGTTACAGCAAAGGGATTTCCCCACTGATGTAAATGTGAATTCTGGTGTAAAAGTTTGAGCAGATTTAATTAAAAAGACAGTTAAAACTCTCAATGGTGCATTGGTCACATCAAAAGAAAACCACTTAAAGAGGAAATATCGTGCAAAATCCACTTTTTAGCTGTTAAATGCATTTTTTGTACACTTGGAGTTTATGAGTCTGATCTGAGACACACCTCAGATAATAGTTGAAAGAGGGGCTTGTGGAGTTGCAATAAGGAGGAATTCAGACCTAAGCATTGTAGTTCCACTTTATATAGACCCAAACTGAAGGACTTATAGGAGGGGTGTTATGCAAAATCAACTTTTTTGAGCTTTATATCGTGTTATAATTTCATTATCTCATTAAAAACCTACACAGCAAAAACAGGAGTGTTAAAATTTCAGTGTTAAACTTTTGGGTGTTGATTTAACACCCCCTAKTKTTATTTTAACACTGTCTGAGTAAACTGGCACCCATTGTTGGTGTTAATTCACAGTGTTGATTTCCTCAGTGTTGTATCAACACTGGACAGTTTTGAATAAGCTCCGCCCACTGTCAAGTTTTATATAACACTTAACAGTGTTGTTAAAAAACACCATGCAGTGTTGAAAGCAGTATTCTGAAAAGCCCCGTCCTCTTCCACCTCATGTCAGATAGACCCAGCATTCCTTGCTGAGAAATCTTGCAGAAATGATGTTTTTGCATATTTATGACTATTAAAGACGTTCATTTATGTAAAGATTAGTTGTTCTGGTTTGTTTTCTTGTTCAGTTTGATCAAGTTGTTCAAGTTTACATTTATGTTTTTGGCCAAAAATCGACACCATGAATGGTGTCCTGGTGTGTGAAGAGTGACAACATTATACTTTTCTACTAACTACTGAACAGTGTYAATGCAACACTACAGAACGTTTGATTTTAACTTTGAGTGTTAAATTTACACTTTCAGTTTGTGATGTATTTGACACCTTGGGGTGTCTGTTAACCTTTCAAACACCACAATTTCCTTTGTTAATAATAATACACTGGTGATAGTTTTAACACTTTATTTTAACACTGTTGAAATGTTAATATGACACCCAGTATTGTTGAATATTTAACACTGGCTGGTGTTACTTTTAACACTATATTTTAACACTAACACTATTTTTATGTTAATATGACACCCAGTATCGTTGAATATTAAAACTGGTCGGTGTTAAATTAACAAAAAATGGGTGTTAAAATTTAACACTTTTACAAATGTTATTTTAACACCAGCAAGTGTGGACACATATAGACACTTTGTTGGTGTTGAAATTAACRCTGTGGGTGTTAAATTAACACTGACATTTTTACTGTGTACTCAGCGTGCAGCTTGGTAAAACATTTCTCCAAATCCTGCCTAAACACTTGCTGGTACAAAGCTCCGCCTATTTACACAAAGCTCCTCCCAGTCTGCAACTGAGCTCCCGCCCCACAGAGCACCCCTCCCCCAAAGCATTGTTGTGGAGATGTGCTGAAGTGGGAGTGTTAGAAACAGTAGGAGCTTCTTAAAGAGACARAGGCCAATATCAAGGCTTCGAGATCGACCAAGATGCAAAGTCAAATTTATTTTTGATAAACATGAGTTTAAACCTGAAAAAGGAGGATTTATAGCATAATTTCTCCTCTAAATTAAAAACACCCGCCCACTATACTACCTGCCAATGTTTTAAGCAAACTTCTTGTGATCTGTTACTGCTTACACTTTGTTTTGGGGGTGACTCTCAGCTACTACCACACCCAATTTTAGTTAAATGTCTGAAAAATTGATCAAACTGCAGACGTTTTTGTGTTGCCTATGACTGATTCCTGTGGTAGCCATCTTGATCTCAAACACTAATCAGTCACTGATGTGCATCTATTCAGAGTTCTGTTAAAATCTGTTCTCTGGTGTTTGACGTATTTGCTAATAAACAGACAGACAAGTACACACAAGTTTGCACAGCTATCCAATTGGGGACATTCCATTGACTTCCATTACATTTCTACAGTCTAAAGGGCTCGACACACGGGAGGCGACGTCGCTCGCTCTCCATTCATTTCCTATGGAGCCTGTGCGGTGAGGCGACAATCGCTYGCCCTCCTCCAGCTAAGCGACYGGCGAAAATAGTGCATKTGAAATTTCSCRCTCGWACACGTAGACGTGCACACGCGAGCTTGCGATGYGACATATGAAAGTTGAAAAATGTTCAACTTTTGTAGCTGTCGCTTAGCGTACAACCAATCAGCGAGGGTTTCATTGACTGACCAATGAGAGGAGAGTATGCTACACACTGCCGTTAGCTAACACTTTCACCAAGTGATTACTAAAAAAAGGCAGCTTTGTGGGAATTTATTGGCACCAGGGTGAAGTTTATGGTAAGTTTTTCCTCATAAAATTGCATCTTCATGTGCGTTTGTTTTTCAATATCATTAGCATCGCAAGATTTGTTTAGTTTACACGTCCGTAATGCACACCTGCCTTCAGAGTCAAGAACCAATCAAATTTTGTGAACACAAGCGACCTGAGAGCGCGATTCGCAACGCTGCGATCGCTATTGCGTCCCTTGTGTCGGGTTTCACCCTGGCTGCGATGACAGCCGTCGCTCCCCGTGTGTCGAGCCCTTAACCCTGACCACAAACCCTAAGGCTAACCTCACAGGTACCTACCTGACCCTAAAACTAACCTAAAATCAATTTACACCTTGGTCCTAAACCCAACCCCCAACCCACCAATGGCATTTAAACCAAAATAAACAATCAGAGTTACACCGGGGCCTCAGAAACTGATGTTGACAAATAATTGCTCTTGGCCCATCTCCTAATTTCTGTTAATTTAGCCCCGTGGCTCCTCCTGCTGTTACAGACGGTGGATGGCTCCTGGTGGTTTGGTGTGAAGGCAGCATCAAGCAGCCAGAGCTGCCAAACCGCCAACCTCAGAAAACCCATCACAGACGCATTTCTTCTCCAACACCAAAACAAGTGAGCTGTGGAAAGAGCTGAAATATACGGAAGCGTGTTGCTATCAGGCAGGAAAAAAAAAAATCCGAGCGCCATCACGTTATAACGTGATACGTATCTTGTTAAAACGTGATACGTATCACGTTTTAACGTGATAGTATCTCATTAAAACGTGATACGTATCTCGTTTTAACAAGATACGTATCACGTTATAACGTGATAGCGCTCGGAATTTTTTTTTCCTGCCTGATAGCAACACGCTTCCGTAGAAATACTCTCAACGGAAAAAAAATAAAGTTTAGGTAAGGGAAACAAGAAGGCGAAGCAACAAACAGTAAAATAAGCTCTCATTTTTTTTTTCATTTTTCCCCTTTCAGCAGCAGAGTTCTGTTATTTCAGCTTTACTGCAGTGAAAACTGCTGTTTGTCAAAGCTTTGCAATATTTTCACAGCCGAAGATGAAAACCAGCAATCACAAACGGCCACGTTAGTTCTTTCTGACATGCAGAAACACCACGGGAGAACAGAATTTTGTTATTTTCCACAAATACCCACACACTACACACACTTAGCTCCACAGAAGGAGTTTATATTTGATTTCGTGGCACAAGGTGCGGCTCCGTTTACAAGCCCGGGCCCCCCCTGYCCCGGTCCCAGGGTCTTCCACACTTGGTTGGTTTCCTCCTCTGTCCGTCTCACCTTGAATGAAGTGGGGCTGAACAGAATGCAACGGTTTTTCACTCGGTTAGAGCTGGATTAGAGTTTCTGATCGGCTGGAAGGCAACAACCGGAGGGAAATTACCTGCAGCCGCCGAGCTGAATGTGAACACACAAAGGTGTGTCGTCAGGCACCACACTGAGCAGCAGCTAATACCACTCACACACACACACAAACTTATATTCTTTCTTTGTTGGGACCATTTATTGACTCCCATTAATTTCCAGTCATTTCTGTAGCCTAACCATGATCATTACCCTAAACCAGGGTGATTCAACTGGTGGCCCGTGGGCCACATCTGGCCTGCCGGTGACTTCCATCTGGCCCGATAATGAGCCAACCCCCCCAAAAAACGTTTTCTTTTCTTTTTTTTTTTACTTAAGGCACAGTGTGTAGGATTTGTTGTTTTCAGCAACATCTAGTGGTTGAGTGGTTGAATCATCCTCCCTAGTCC